ACTACAAATAGAACTACCATTCGACCCAGCAACACCACTACTACCCAAAAGAAACAAAATTGTTATGTCGAAAAGACATCTGCTCTTGTATATTTATCACAGCACTATTTACAATAGTAAAGTAATGAAATCAACCTAAGTGTCCATCAGTGTAAGATTGGATAAAGAAAATGTGGTGTATATACACCGTGGACTACTACACAGCCATAAAAAAGAATAAAACCGTGTCTTTTGCAGCAACATGGATGGAGCTAGAGGCCAGTATCCTAAGTGGAATCACTCAGAAACAGAAAATAACATACTGCATGGTCTCACTTATAACTGGGAGCTAAATAATGGGTACACACGGGCATATAGAGGGAAATAACAGACAGTTGAGATTCCAAAAGGGGGAATGATGGGAGGGTTGAAAAGTTACCTGTTCAGTACAATGCTCACCATTCAGGTACACTAGAAACCCAAACCTCACCATTATGCAATATATCCACATAACAAACCCATACACGAATGCCCTGCATCTTAATAATAGTAATAATAAAGATTAAAATTATATGCTTGCCTAAGGCACTTACAATGAACAGGGCTTGCAGGACTGGAAGGTGCTCTGTGTAATTCAGGAAGTGAGTAAGGGGTCAGGGAATATAAAAGCCTAGGACAATATTATATACTGCTGTAGACTTTATAAACACTATATGCTTAGGCTATAGTAAATTTATTTAACAATAATTTCATTTTCTCAAGAATAAATTAACCTTATCTTACTGTAGCTTTACTTCATAAAATTTTAATTTTTTAAAAACTTTTTGTCTCTTTCATAATAACTTGAAACACAAACACATTGTACAGCTATAGAAAAGGATTTGCTTTTTTATATCCTTATTTATATCCTTTTTTATATCCTTATTATTTTTCTCTATTTCTAATTTTTTTCTATTATTTAAACTTCTACACTAAAAACTAAGACACAAACACACATATTAGCATAGGCCTACACAGAGTCAGGATCACTAGTATCGATGTTTTCCACCTGCACATCTTGGCCCACTGGAAGGTCTTCAGGGGCAATAACATGCATCAGCTGTCATCTCCTATGACAGCAACGTCTTTTTCTGGACTACCTCGTGAAGGACCTACCTAAGGCTGTTTTACAGTTCAGTTCTTTATAAGTAGAAAGAATATACTCTAAAATAACTATTAAAAGTATAGTATAGTAAACACATAAACAGATATTACCATTTATTATCATCATCAAGAACTATGAACTGCACATAATTGTATGTACTATACTTTTATATGGTCAGTAGTGCAGTATGTTTGTTTACACCAACAACACCACAGACATGTGCGCAATGCATTTGTGCTACAATTTTACGATGGCTCTAATGTCACCAGGTGATAGCAATTTTTCAGCTCCATTATAATCTTATGGGAGTACTGTCGTGAATTGTTGATGGAAATATCATTATATGGTGCGTGACTGTATAATAAAACCTGTTCCAGTTTGGACCATTGGCCAGAGACACCAACAGACACAATGTAATCAAGATGTAGACCCCAATGTCAGCCTTCTAGACACAGATGAAACAACACCCAACTTAGCTCAAGAACACTTTCTAAAAGCAGGAGGCTCCGGTTCATCAATCTGTGGGAACAAGGAGAACCACAGTAAGTGCAGAGGAAAATCATTATCTCTGAACTTGTCAGAAGAAAAAACCCATGAAGGAATGCTTTTGAGAACTTGAATTCTGGGGAAGGCCACTGAAGGCCACAGCCACTCCAGAAATACAGAGGTCACTACTTCCCGACATGTGGTGAGTCCACATCTCCACTCACTTCCTGTCAGTAGGTGTCACTTGAACAAATTTTCTCACGTCCTGGCCAGTCACCTCAAACCTGGAGGCAGGTCTTGCTTTGCACACACCTCTGTCAAAATGTGTATCAGACAATTATGTTATGGACTGAATGTCTTAGGTGTTACGGAGTAGGTGTTATGGAGTGAATATTTCTGGATCCTCCAAAGCGCACTCTTTCTTTCTCTCTCTCACACACACACATATATACCCCAAGGAAAGGCCATGTGATATCTTAATATTTAACTCCCAGCCTCCAGAACTGTGAGATAACAAATTTCTCTTCGTTAAGTCACCCAGTGAGTGGTATATTGTTATGGCAGCCCAAGTAGACTAATACACTAGGTTATTCTGCTCCTGACCCAACTTACTGAGTTAGACCTTCTTTGGTCCCCACATCTCTCCCCAGGGACACTGTATGAGGCCTGGAGCTATGTCAATTTTTCTGTACTCAAAAGTAGTGCCCTCCTATATTTACTCCTTGTTTGTTTTATTGGAGATCCTGGTAGGTATCTTTCTTCTCTTTGAACTGTAAATAGAAATAATCCTTCTTTTTGAAGTAGGATTTTCTTTCTGAACAAGCTTATTAGAATAATTTCCTACCATTGATCTTCTGGCATGGCAATTTCAATTAAAAAATCATTTGAATAATTATGTTAGAATACACAGCAGCTATATTTCTTAGGTTAGTGTAGTTTGCAAACAAAAGGCATACATGTTTTCCCAGTAACCTCAATGTGTGTGTGTGTGTGTGTGTGTGTGTGTGTGTGTGTTTTAATTTCCCTACAAATCATTGCTAACAGCCAAGGAAAGTGAGGCCATATTCTTAAAGGTCTGGAAGATATAGTCCCCTGTATGTGTATGAAATTTGTTTGAAATCTCATGTACTATATTTAAAATTCATGTTACTTTCTATTATGTAATATATTCTCATTTGTTTCAATACACACAAAATACTGTAAATTGATAATTTAAATGTATGCCATGTTCATCCCAGAGCTTAATGTCACCCTTTATACATTTATACACTACTACTTAGTTTATTCTTCTTAAGGAGAGAGAAATGTATTGCCAGTATTCTCAATAGGGACACTTTCAAGGCTGAGACAGTAGGGCTCATGAAGAACTGGAACAATATAAACCATTGCTGAGACTGTAATAGCAACCATAATGACCACAAGGAGGCAACAGATCTAACGGTAATGGAAAAACACAACCTTTAGAAATCGGTGAGCCCAGCCTGTAATCCCAGCACTTTGGGAAGCCGAGACGGGTGGATCACGAGGTCAGGAGATTGAGACCATCCTGGCTAACACGGTGAAACCCCGTCTCTACTAAAAAATACAAAAAACTAGCGGGGCGAGGTGGCGGGCGCCTGTAGTCCCAGCTACTCGGGAGGCTGAGGCAGGAGAATGGCGTAAACCCGGAGGCGGAGCTTGCGGTGGGCTGAGATCCGGCCACTGCACTCCAGCCTGGGTGACAGAGCGAGACTCCATCTCAAAAAAAAAAAAAAGAAAAGAAAAGAAAAGAAAAGAAATCAGTGAGCCCCTGTCATCTCTGTGCCTCCCACGTGCCATTAAGAGAATATAGAATTAATACATTATTTATCAGAATTAAAGTGTTTTGCTTTCTGTTTTGTTTTTTTTTTATTTTCCAAAAATACGTGATTTTATTTTTATTTGATAGAGAGCAGCAATTCATTTTAGGTTAACATGCCACCACATAATAGGAATAGAGAAGGTAAGAAAGGTAAATATACACACAGAAGTAAGTCATGGGCAAACCTAAACAACTAAGAAAATAATTAGCAATGAAATTAAAAGGAGAAAAATGCCCAGGGAAGCAGAAATAGATTTTCCTGCTCTCCTACGTCTAAAGAGCACAATGAGATAACAAAACACAAACGGTAGTAGATGGCAGAAGCTATTTACCTAAATCAGGATTGGAGCTAGGAGGCATAGCTTAGGCACTCGGTCCAGATCCCAGGCATTTGAAACTCCAAGTTGCAGAATCAATTTTAATCTTAAAAACCAAACTTCTTCGAAATTCCATTCTGTAAAAGTGAGGTTGGCTACTATTCAAAGTTTTATTCGCTTCTTAAAGAAAAGCCAGAATGTTCCTACCACTGTGTTGATAAGCAAAGGTAACATTGCCTCTATCAGGGGCTTTTTCTCTTTTATTTATGTCTCTGCCTTTTATGTTAAGGGATGCTTTTAAATGTCTAATGATCCTGGGATGCTCATTGAAACTTAGTAGGATATAAATCTGAGATTCAAGCAAAGAAAAATGGCTCCAGTTCCTGTTTTTAAATACTTCTTCACTTCACTCTCGACTAAGCCTGATAGCCCAGAATTTCATGTTGTTCATTCAATATCTTCAGAAAAATAGTCTTTTTTCCACAAAAGTGGTTGGAAAGGAGTGGACACCTGACTATTCCAGGTGAAATGGGAAATCTGAGAGTATAACCGCACTTTATTCAATTGTACTTTGTGTTTTCTGTATAAAGTCTCCTACTCCTACCCTCTCTCTGATCTTCTGAGGTATCAGGTATCCTCCTTACTGAGACTTTTGGTGCACCTTCATTTTTGTTGGCATTTGCCTCTGTGGGCCCTTAGAATTTGTCTTTCTTCAGTTCATTTAAGTCAGTTACCACTTGTTCATTCACTTGCATTTTCCAAAACATCTCCCATGCTGTTATCCTTTGCCTGTTCTATGTGTCCTTTGGGGTTCATAACTTTTAAAAACAATTTTACTCTCATTTCACTAGGTACTCAGAAAGGAACAGAGAAGTATGTTTCCAATTCACCATACTTAATTATCAGTCTAGCTTTCACTGATATTTCAGAGCAATTATAAGGTGCTCGGGGCAGAGTTCCCATCTGTCTTGTTCACGTCTCTATACTTCTCTAATATATGGTGAATACTCATTAAGTGTGTTCATCAAGTGAAAGGGAGAAATAGGAAGAAACTGAAAAACTGGCATGAAAGGACAAAAATTTAGCATTTCACCACAGGGGGGCAGTGTCTCTATTCATAGCTAACCTTCAAGGTTAGCTCAAAACCCTGGGAAAACATCTGGTAAGAGATCCGATTGGCTGATATCTGGAACAGAGATTTAAATTTCATGGTAGTGTTTTTAGTGTCACTCTAAGCTCAAGGGAGTTTCTTGAAGCAAAAAAAAAAAACCATTCAGGAAATAATTCTTTGCTGATAAGGATGCTCCTTGAACGTTTATTAATAATCTTGTGGATGCAGCTGACATGTGAGTCTTGGGAGTTTCTGACTCTTCCGTAGCGAATTCTAAAGGGGAGGAAATTCTGTGAGAACAGGTGAGGCTTTATCGGAGACTATGAAAAGAGGATTACAGAAGGAAAAAAGCTAGAGAAGGAGGAAGGAAAGGAAAGACACAGATGCAGGGCTGGGAAGTTTGGGGATAGAGCGTCCAACACAGCTCTGAAAAAGGTGATCTAAAGATAACCTTAACCACTTTCTTTTCTCTTTCTAAACAGGGGTCAGTGGTCAACAGCTGAATCAGAGTCCTCATTCATTGTCTGTCCAGGAAAGAGAGGATGTCTCCATGAACTGCACTTCTTCAAGCACATTTAACACCTTTCTATGGTACAAGCAGGACCCTGGGGAAGGTCCTGTCCTCTTGATGGCCTTATTTAAGCCTGGTGAATTGACCTCAAATGGGAGACTGTCTGCTCAGTTTGGTATAACCAGAAAGGACAGCTTCCTGAATATCTCAGCGTCCGTGCCTAGTGATGTAGGCACCTACTTCTGTGCCGGGCAACACAGTGCTCCCCAAGCACCTGCAGCCTGTACTCAAACTTGCAGCTGGAACTCCAGTCTCTATGCTGCCTTCAGCTCTTAGTTGTCTGGGCATGAAATGTGATTATGCATGCCGCCTTTGCCCCTGTCATTCCATCACTACAAACTCTCCTTTATCCAAGGATTCGTCCTCCAAAGATTGTGCTCTTTGCTTGATAAACTTGCTCCTCTGAATTCATTTTTAATGTATGTAATAGATTTTCTTAATTATTTCTGCCATGATATGAGGAGAATTGATCAACACACAATTACAGCAGAAGATTTTAGTAAGTTTCTCTTTTAAAATGGATGATATCAATAAAGTAAAAATGAGAGTCCAGAAATAAATCCATAAATCTATGGTCAATTTATTGCAACAAGACCATTCAATGGGAAAAGAATAGTCTTTTCAACAAGTGATGCTGGGACCACTGGATAGCCACCATTTGATCTCTACCTCACACATGTACAAAAGTTAACTCAAATGGATTAAAGGTCTAAATGTAAGATCTAGAAGTACAAATGCTTAGATGAAAACATAGTTGTAAATCTTGATGACCTTGGACTATGCAACAATCTCTTACATACAACACCAAAAAAAGCAACCGAAGGAAAAATAGATAAATTGGGCTTTATCAAAATTAAAATCTTTGTGCATCAAAATTCACAAAATCTTCCACAAAGGAAAATGAAAAGATAACCCATATAATAGAAGAATATACTTGCAAGTCAAGTAAATCTGATAAGGATTTAATATCAAGAATATATTTTTTAAACTCTTACAACTTAGCAATAAGATAAATGCCAATTTTAAAATGATTTAAACCATCATTGCTCCAAGGAAGACACACAAATTGTCAAAAAGTATGTAAAAAGATGCTCAACATTATTATTCATTGGGAAAATGCAAATTAAACTAAAATGAGCTGCCACATCACACCCACTAGGATGTTCATAATTTTTTAATAAGGAAGAAGAAGAAAGAGACATGGAAGATTCCAAATGTTGGTAAGGATGGGGGAAATTGGAATCGTCATCCACCGCTGGTAGGAATGTAAAATAGTACAGACACATTAGAAAATAGTTTGGCAGTTTCTCAAATGACTAAACACAGAGTTACCATTTGACCCAGCAATTACAGTCCTAGATATCTAATTAAGAGTTTGAACATGTGATTTATTTCATTGGCCAGAATCACATCATATGGCCAGCACTAATTGCAAGGGAGGTTGAGAAAGGGAGCATTTAATTTGTCTAGCCTCTAAAAAAGAGATGAGCATGAAAGATATCAATTGCGGATAAGTGTTGGTTTAACTATCCAAAAACATCTGCCACATCATACAAGGTCCTCATTCCCCAGAAGAGACTCTGATGATACATCTTGATATTCTTATTACTGTTATTATCCTAACAGCATGTGCCAAAGGAAGCTGAAGTCTGTTAAGAGCTCTACAGAGCTGTTCAAATGTAGTATTGGTTTTGCTCCAAAAAATACACTGTAGGTTTTCTTCCTTGCAAATGTTCTGCGGGAAATCAGTATCTCTCAAGAGGCATCAGCTGATGTTTCAGAGGAAAGATGGTCCACTGCCCCTGACAGTGATATGGACAGTTCCAGGCAGTTCTTAAAGCTAGTCGCTTTAATGTCTCACAGAGATCATGTTCTTAAACGTCAGTACGGAATTCACTTCCCTCTCCCTGAGAAGCAGTCCCCTGAAGACCCAGCACAACATTTCCAGGGGTCCCACATGTGCATATGACATAGCCCTCAAAATCCTAGGAATGTTTTAATTGAGGTAATACTTTTACAGCTATTTATAGGATCTCCAGTACTATTCTTTTCTCAGGAACTTAAAAAATGGGTATTAGCTAACCACGGATAACCATGTTTTCTTCTTCCTTTCCCATTCCTGTTCAGCTGTGTGTAGGCAAATCTACCGTCCCAACTTTCTCAGCGTTGAAGCCGTGGTTTATTTTATAGCAGGCTTTCTATTTTATGTTATTTTTAACTTTTATTTCAGGTTCAGGAGTACATATGCAAGCTTATTATGTAGGTAACCTGCATGCCACGGGGGTTTGGTGTACGGATTATTTCGTCACGCAGGTAATAAGCACAGTACCTGATAGGTTTTTCAATACTCACCTTCCTCCCACCCTTCATCCTCAAGAAAGCCTGGGTGTCTGTTGTTCCCTTCTTTGTGTCCATGTGTACTCACCGTTTAGCTCCCACATATAAGTGAGAACATGTGATATTTGGTTTTCTTTCCTGTGTTAATTTGTTTAGAATAATGGCCTTCAGCTCCATCCATGTTGCTGCAAAGGATATGATCTCGTTCTTTCTCACGGCCGTGTAGCATTCCATGGTGTATATGTATCACATTTTCTTCATCCAGTCTACCATTGTTGGGCATTTAGGTTGACTCCGTGTTTCGTTAATGTGAATAATGCTGCGATGAACATAGGTGTGCATGTGTCTTTCTGGTAGAAAATTTATATTCCTTTAGGTTTATACCCAATAATGAGATTGCTGGGTCAAATAATAATTCTACAGAAGGCTTTCAAATTGTGGGCTAGTATTGAAGGTAAAGATTGCTTTATTCATTTCTGTATGCTCCTCTGTTCCTGGCACAAACAAAACAGTCAATTAAAAATGTTTACATGAGAGGCCGGGCTCAGTGACTCACACCTGTAATCCCAGCACTTTGGGAGGCCAAGGCAGGCAGATCACAAGGTCAAGAGTTCGAGACCATCCTGGCCAAAATGGTGAAACCCCATCTCTATTAAAAATACAAAAAAAAAAAAAAAATTAGCTGGGCGTGATGATGCACACCTGTAGTCCCAGCTACTTGGAAGACAGGAGAATCACTTGAATCCAGGAGGCAGAGGTTGTAGTGAGCCAAGATCACACCACTGCACTCCAGCCTGGTGACAGAGCCAGACTCTGTCTCAAAAAAAAAAAAAAAAAAAGTTACATGAATTAAGGGGCAAGATGCTAATTAATTCTCACATCTGTGCCTCTGTGCCACCCAGAAATGCAGAAGGGAGCTTATAACCAAAAAACTGTGGGTAAATTTATCTGATCTTCATGGGGACAGTACAAACTATATTCATAAGCAGTAATAGAACATGGCATTATTTACTTTATTGTGGTGGTGTCACATCATCAATCTCTTACTTCATGTTTCTGGGTTTTGTTTCTTGTTTAAGATCTAGAGAATTAGGCCACATTATCATTGTCTCAAAAAAGTAGTCTTGGAAACCAAGTGATCCATCACTTCATCTCAACTGGGCAATTCAGCTTTTCTGGAACGCAAATATGTTTGTCTTCACCTTGAGATATGAACTTTCTAATTAGTAATTCTTTTTCTTAGTGATCATAAAGATGAAGCAAGAAATTACTAGTCTTCCTAGACTTGAACAATGCCTACATAGATTATATGTATTTTACTAAAAATAGACATTCCTAGACAATGACAAGAAAACTATGTAATAACATTTATGGAATGGAATGCAACCAAATCTATACTCCAAGTATATTAGCGAAGGCCAAACTATTCTAACAAATATATACCAAACGTTCAGAGGCTTAATGAACAAAGTTTGTCTTTCTTGTGAAAATCTGGAGCAGATATTCCAGGTCAGCAGATGACTCTGTCTTACATGATCTTTGAGGAACTGAGGTTATTCTAATTTGGGGACTCTGCTATTTCTCATAGACTTACCATCATGTGCAGGGTCATGGCCTGGCTATGCCAGGTTTCAGTAAGCAAGGAGATGAAAGAGTGGGTATGGAGCAGGCATGACCACTCGCTTAAGAATCCTGGACAAGAAATAATAGAATTACTGACTCCTAGGATTATGGACAGCTTTGGGTAGCCTGTCCTTTCATGGTGAGACAATTTGAGAAGTATCTACTCTCATTCATAAAACATGTGGACACTAATTTTCAGCTATTCTGCACCAGCTCACAAGATGGCGGTGTTCTATTTTGAATGACTCCCATGGGTGATTGAGTGGGAGGGATTTGAATTTAAATAGAACCAAATGACACTTTTTTTAATGGTTGGCTGAATCACCAAATTGCTATTTCCCTTTTTCTGAGTGTGTGTCTGTGTCTATGTGTGTGTATGTGTGTGTGCATGCGCACGCACACAGGCAGACGCCAGGGGTAGAGTGTGATGGTTCAAAAAGAAAAGGAAATGCTTAAGGTAGTGAATCACGTTTTGCCCAGGAAAACACACTTGATAATTGAAGGATGATGAAGTGTTCACAGGCTTTACTAGCGATCTTTTGGCTTCTACTGAGCTGTAAGTAGGGTTACTACAAAGGGTCAGGGGCAACCAGGAAACCTGAGGATTGATCCTCAGAAGACTAAGAGGGTAAAGTAGACTTCATTCTGACTTATTGTCTGGGAGCCCTATGGTTCTAACGGTGAATAATAATCACATTTTTCTACACAGGGGTGAGCAGTGAAGACAAGGTGATGCAAAACCCTCTATCTCTGGTTGTCCACGAGGGAGACACTGTAACTCTCAACTGCAGTTATGAAGTGGTTAACTTTCGAAGCCTACTATGGTACAAGCAGGAAAAGAAAGCTCCCACATTTCTATTTACGCTAACTTCAAGTGGAATTGAAAAGAAGTCAGGAAGACTAAGTAGCATATTAGACAAGAAAGGCCTTTTCAGCATCCTGAACATCACAGCCACCCAGACCAGAGACTCGGCTGTCTACCTCTGTGCTGTGGAGGCACAGTGCTCCCTAGTCACCTGCAGCCTGTACTCAAATTCTACAGCTGAAGCTCTGCAACTGTAAGATGGGGAACTTGCTATATTGAGCAAGTCCTCAAAAATAAACTATAAGGAAAAGCAGTTATTGGTCAAGATCCTTGTGCCCATGTTGACAACTACTTTTGCAGTTTACTGAATCCTAACTCTGAGTCATATTATTGCATTCACTCCATTCTCTGTGAGTTTTCTATGGGATTCAGCATAGCTAATATTTCTAGAAGGTCACTCAGGATACTAACTCCATTGCCACACCCTTATGCCCTGTGATAGAAAGCAAAC